AAGGTGTTCATCACCACCTAAAACCTTTTTGAGATTGAATACCTTGGCACAGTGTAACACTTCCACAGCTGCATCACAACCCTTCGGCACTTCACATCCCATTTGGGCCCAATTTGCAACTGGTACTGCTTTGTGACCCACCCGCTCTTCTGCTCACCAATACCTGTGTTTAATCAGCCACTGATTTTTCAAAGCAGCATTTCAAGCAACCAAGCAGAGACACTTTAGTCTGACTTCCAAGCATAATGGGTTTTCACTCTTTAAGCATGGCTTGCACTGGGAAGCGGATGAAGAGAAAACAGCCTTTCAAGACAATACGCATTCAGTACACCTAAGGACTGTCCAGCAGCTTAAAGGAGTGAACACACACATCATGGAAAACCCGTTTGCTCCCTGCACACAGCCAGATCTCCTCCTTTAACCCTCTGAGCAACAACACTGTAACTGCTTCTACACCATTCCCTATCATTTATATCCTTTTGAGTGGAATACCTAACTCCTGGGTGGACACAGAAAACCAGTACTGCCTGCCACACCTGCAGACTGCCAGGAGCTCCTTCTGAGCAGGGCTCCACCTGGAAGAGTTCGCAGCCTGCCACAACACAAGAGCACTCAGCTGGTTCTGCTGTTCGAACTCCCTGCTGTTCTCATGGCGAACGGCGAACTATGTGTCTCACTTCACAAAGGCCAAAAAACCACTCAGACACAGCACAAAACAGCACCCTTATTAGAAGAATGTGAATCACAAGCTGTGCGTGTATTTAAGAGAGCTGTACTAAAAATTTTGTATTTGGTTTGGCTCATTAACTGAAAAACAAAGTGGATTCGGTCCAAACAAGAAGGGAGGGGGTTTCATTATTCCTCATAGACAATGTTTTATTCTGTTTGCTGCCAGGGCATTTACTTTAAAAACCAAACACACACCCAGGGAAAGGATTATGAAAAAGGGTAACATTTCCCTTCTAACAGTGGAAGGGCATTCACAGGGATAAAGGAAGGATCTGAATCTGTTTTCTTAATGTTCAGCTCTACGTTTCGCCTTTTCAGTGAGAATAATTTCCACAGGCAAATACACTAACCACCAAACCCTGCTGCATTTGGAGCAAGTCACTCCTGGGCTTCACTTGAATTCTGCCATGCAGAGCCAAAAGAGAGCGCTGCAAGAGTGAAGCAAACCTCCAGAGATTATTCTATAGCATGCTGCTTTGGTCTCTTCCTTCTGCAGCGAAGATTAGAGGGCACTGAATCTGCGTTTTCCACACTGCAGGCAAGCATCCAGTTTAAACCACTCTGTGAATTCACATGAATCCTCACCTTAACCCACTGGCCCCAGTGACTCAACAATTACAAGGTTTTCGTCAAGAACCGAAAATCACACAAACAACCAAAATCTCTTTTCATACCTCTTCAAGCAGCTTTGTGTACGGAAAAAAACCTGAATACAGCAGGCTATACCTCACAGGCCTCCACAGCTCTGCTCCAGCTTCTAGTCTCAAGTCTGATGCCAAATTTCCCTCAACTGCACCCAGTTCTTTGAGATTCAGAGCATAACAAAGATCAGCTGTAGTTGATTAACTTGGGTGCCTGGAGGGAGCAAGAGGAGTCTTGTCACATACAATACTTCAGACTTGTGAAGAGAAGCCACGAAAACTAGCAAGTGGTGTTGACTGGCAAAGCTACATGGGGAAGCAGGCATTGGCACTATTAAAAAGAAAAGGCTAATTAAAATGGAAACCAAGGCTAAGCAGAATTTCTCATGTCTATGCTTTCAACAGCAGCCTCAACACTCCGGCCTGAGAGGGAGAAGAAAGAAGACGGTCCCTTCTCCGATATACCCGTGCCATGCTTAGCCCGTTCCTTTGATAGCTCAGCTGAGGCCAGTCCATCTTCTCTGCTTCCAGCCTCCACCGACATTTAGAACCTTCCTGCTCCCAAGCCATCAAGTGTCATTTGGAAAAGCAGCACGTCTTCTAGACCTGCAGCCACCTCAGTGCTCAGCCCTACACTTCTGCCTGACGAACCCTGACATTCTTTGCAATCTCAACTCACCCCTGAAACTCCTACTACACTTAATTTATACTCATCTCAAACGCAGCGCTAAAGTCTCGACGGCACAGCGTGCGCGAACGTTAAATTTCAGTAGGCTGAGTCAACAAACTTGACCTCTTGGCATTAGGAGCTGTATGGTAACTTGTCAACAGCTGTTGAGGTGTGTTAGCACTTTAAGGTGACCTGCAAATGTAATCCGAAGGGTACTGACTTGAATAATGTGCCTTTAGTACCCAAGTAACCCGTGTAAGAGGGGCATCTGGCGCACAATTATTTTATTATTAAGGTTGCAGGTTTCCATGAGACAGGATACAAAACATATAGTGTATTTGAGAATTATCTGAATCACCCTATCAAGAAGAGTCTCACAAATCACAGAGCCGGCTGAGAAAGAAGTAATAGATAACACTTCTACCTGTATTTTCTAACCAGTACACTGCAAAACAAGTATCAAGCAATTCTACATGGAGGAGCTAGGGTAAACAGTACATGTCCCTATTATAAAAAGAAAAAAAATTACAAAAAAGGAGGGTCAAACACATCCAAGCCAAGGGAAGAACCACCACCTGTGGAGCCAGACAGCAAAGCTTCTGGAAGCACTAGTAGAACTTGCTGTAGGTTACCTTAACAGCCGCTGCGGGAACAAGCTGCAATTTTAGCAGCCAGGAAGCCCTCAGCATCAGAAGGATATACACAGGTTGGATTAAGTCCAGAGGAGGCCACGAAGATGATCCGAGGGCTGGAGCCCCTCTGCTATGGGGACAGGCTGGGAGAGTTGGCCTGGAGAAGAGAAGGCTCCGGGGAGAACTTATAGCATCTTCCAGTGCCTGAAGGGGCTACAAGGAAGCTGGGGGGGACTTTTTACAAGGGCCTGTAGTGACAGGACAAGGGGTAACGGGTTTAAATTGAAAGTGGGGAGGTTTAGATTGGACATCAGGAAGAAATTCTTCCTGGAGAGGGTGGGGAGGCACTGGGACAGGTTGCCCAGAGAAGCTGTGGATGCCCCATCCCTGGAAGTGTCCAAGGCCAGGCTGGATGAGGGTTTGAGGAAACTGGTCTGCCCATGGCAGGGGGGTTGGAACTAGATGGTCTTTAAGGTCCCTTCCAACCCAAACCATTCCATGATTCTTCTGAGCTAACAGCTTTCCGCAGAGGCCTACTTACAAGTCCAAGAGAACAGCATTCAAAAAGAAATTCTCCTCCCCACATTAGAGTCAAACACTAGAAAGTAGCTTCTTAACCGATGAGTTCAGTGTGACCCTGATATTAAATAGTGAATTTCAGGGAACAGGGACTTCTCAGCAAGTAGTGTCATGCCACTGCTTGGGGTGACAAGCACCCAGCAGCTCGAGCCTTACACCACAGCACTAGCTGCTGTACAAACGAGAGAGAAGCTTCTGCGTCAAAAAGCTTAAATCCAAGCTGAACCAGACTACCCAACAAGTTCCTCTCTCAAACAAGAGAAAGTATATTTCCTGACCAGTTTCCACTTCTCAAGCTCACTGCCAAATGACATTGAATTGAGGAGAAAAAAAAAAAAAAGTATAAAGAAGACACATTCCAAATGCCATTTTTCTTCTTCCTCCTAGCTCAGTCCAAAGGATATCAAGTGCAAATATGATTATGGGGCAGAAAGCATAAAAATATCTAAGGCATTTCAGGATATATCAGGTAGCTGTTATATTAATCACTGACAGGATTAAGGACACACTGTAAGTTTTCATGGTATTAACATGTACACTAAACAGCAATAAGGCCATGTTGAGGCTGAAGGTAAAACTGAGAACACAAACACTCGTAAGAGACTATACAACGTTAAGGGAGAAACCTCAGATTCACTGTTGTGTTCCACTTGTTCCATCACATCTGGGTACACCAGCTGCACGGGATTTAGAGCATCCCAAAACCAACACATCTCAGAAAGCTTTAAGAATGTCTCGCATCAGTGTTTCACACATATAGGGTTCCACAATACAAGATCCTTAACCCCACCTAAAAATGAGCACTCAGCAATTCTTATGGCCAAATCCTGCTAAATATTTAGTGTATCTACCCGATAGTGTCAGCCAAAGAACACACAAGGAGCAATAAAAACTCCCTCCTGAGAAGTCCAACGTACAACAATGACCAAATCAGATAATCCTCTGCTGTTTCCAAACATTATCTCCATGGCTTTCCCCCACAGCCAATAAAAAGTTCCACTTGCCCCTTCAGTACTCACACAATCTTAACACAAATTACAGACTGTCAAGCTGAAAGTCTAAAAATCAGTACTGCCTAGAGCTGAAGCTGATGAAGCTGGGAAATTTCTGATCTCTGTCTGCACCATTAAGGTAACAAGGGGCAGCAGGCATACTGAGCTTCATTTAAAAAACAAAACAAAACCCAAGAAGTTGGTATCCTACATCAGCTACATTTCTGGCTATTTTTCCTCTGTGCTCGCCCAAAATTACAAGCATCACCCATGTGTCAGTTCACATGGTTTTCAGGTAGGTATCAAAACACCCGGTGTTTTTTAAACACCAGAAGGCTCGTTCAAAAGTTTAAGAGAACATAGGAATAAATCTACTGCGAACCATATACTTTAAACCTGCAGCTGAAAAGATGATTTGAATGATAAAAAGCTGGGAGTAGTGAGGAAGTTCTTTGGCAAAGAAAAAACAACGTAGCAACTTTTAGGCACACAATATCACGATGCAAACAGTTTCACTGTCCCTGCTGAAACTTCAGTTAGAACAGAAGAAAACGTACCTAGAAGAGCAGTGAGTTTGGGTAGCAGACCAACTTGTACCATTTTGTTTCTCAGGCCCGTGTCAAAGGAGAGATTTGAGTAGTGAGGAAGTTCTTTGGCAAAGAAAAAACAACGTAGCAACTTTTAGGCACACAATATCACGATGCAAACAGTTTCACTGTCCCTGCTGAAACTTCAGTTAGAACAGAAGAAAACGTACCTAGAAGAGCAGTGAGTTTGGGTAGCAGACCAACTTGTACCATTTTGTTTCTCAGGCCCGTGTCAAAGGAGAGATTTAGTAAGAGTCGAAGAGTGATGTTCAGTTCAGCAGGTCTTCGTGTTCACAAGGTACCATTTTCACAAGTTTTTCAACAATGTCCATTTCAACCTGTACATCAAGACAAAACAACTCCATAATCCATCCAAATTTAGCTTTGTCTTTACAGTAAAAGCCCTCTCAGCATGTTACATATTCACACACTTGCCTGTACACACACATATCCAGTCTGTACCCATAATAGCGACTGCCAATGCATTTTCATCTGTAGCAGCTTTGCTTATGTCTTTGTGGTTGAAGTCTTCTAGATTCGGTTACTGGGTAACATTGATTAAGAAAGTTTTTGAACCAAACGCTTCAGATGTCTTGGAAATATTCCTCACAGTTGGAATACTGCAAGAATGTGGTCAAGACATCACTTGCAAGACTAGATTGGAGGGGGGCAGAACTCATTTAAACTTGAAAACAAGCAACGTTGGAGCAATTGACATGACAGTCAAAGAGATACCCTAGCAAGACAGACAGACAACTGGCATCCAAAAAGAATTTGAGACCTTTCGTTATGAATTTCAAATGAATCCCTAGCCAGAACATTGCATGTGCTCTCAGAAGAGGCATGCCGCCCTGTACATTAACTTAATAAAAGCATGAAAGTCATTTTGAAACATGTATCACTTTCCAATTAAAAAGTGGAATCCAGGAACTGAGAAGCGGTATCAGTTCCCGAGATCATGTTCACTTCACCAGCCAGAAAAGGACATCTGAGCATTGACTGGCAAGACTTCACAAAGTTTTTATCATCTTTTTAAGCAACATCTCTCTGCTTTTATTTGACATAATCTTTTAAAGCATTTCTTCTTTGTCTCCCAGAACCGTTTTTGGCCAGAAGGAGGCACACAAAGTTCCTCTGTATTCTTCTAACTTTGACATGTATGTAACTAGCCTCCCAGTTATAAATACACCCAGAATGACCACCAAGAAAAGGAACTATGGCCCTCCCCGCATGGCATAGTGCAATAACCAAACAACTGACTGGATACCTTTGATCAAAACCAATCAGATAGCAAGAACTCCTACTTCACTGCTTTGAATTTGATACGGCACTTGAATATCAAAGGAAAGAATGTGCTATAAATAAATGTGATTATTCAGTTTTAGAATCAGGTGTTGCACAACTGATCTTGGTCCATTTTACCTTCAACATTTTTGTGTTATTGCCTGATATGAACATTAGGCCACCTTCTCCTTCACTGGTAGCTTTCCTTAATAATACTTTTTTTTTCTCCACAGTATCATCTTTATTATCAGTAAGAAATGCTCGAACAGACAGATGACCTGAAGCATACAAACCCTTTAAAACTGTTAAAACAGTCTGCAAAATAATTCAACAATTTTGTTTCATTTCTCTTTTTTTTTATGCCGAAAGCGTGCCAGCGAATCTGTGGGCTGGAGAGATAATCCTTATTTTCCTAATAAAGTCCTTCAGGGCACTACACAAATATAAACTAAATCAATGACCAAACACTTGATAAACAGTCTACATTTCCCCAAAAACATATGCTTGGCATCTGACTTTTGTTAAGAAATAGGATACCCATATATGAATACGGGAGGAACCCCTTCGCCGTTCAGTGCATATGCACACGAAGGACAATTCCAGTAACAAAGATGTAATTAATTTTCTATTGCATTTACACAGATCTTTTAATCTCAAAATCTAAGCGTAACATTAATCTCAGATTATCTCTTGGATAAGGAAAATTTATCATTTTCATTTAAAGGCACTGAAGTAAAGGCACGTATCTACTAAAAGGCACTGGGAAATCCATCAAGTACTTGGTTAGAGCTTAAGGTCACAAAAAAATATGCTACAATTTCAGAAGTTTGAGACTTCGCCTAAAATCGCTTATGAAGAGTCACACTGCCTCCAGTTCTCGGGAGCTGCTGGCAGCAGGAGGTAAGAGTTGTGAGGTGCCTTTGAAGACCAAGCTGACCTAGGAAATAAGTGAACTAGCACATCACAACTAATCTCTCCTTCCAAGACAATACATGGCAGAGACAATAGGCTGTCGAAAGAGCCTAGCTGACGGGAAGGGTCATGGGCATCTCCAGAACTGGGGGCATGACAAGACTTTGGGGTGCTCACTTCCAAAACTGTAACTTCATCTACCAAATTTTGAGGTAGTTTCACTGTTTGGGATGACAGTTCTTCTAACATTTTTGCAGTATGTTATGTCTGGATGTTGTATTTCTCCTGCTTATTTTACTAGTAACAAAAGAAGATAATCAGTGCTATGGGAATTTAGGGCAGGGACAGAGAGGTCTCCCTCTTCCCTCCAACCACACCAAGTTTTCAGAGTTCATACCTTTCCAACACTGCAGTAGAGTGCTATGAGCCTTACCATATCATTTTTGTTCTCCATAAAAATGCTGAGTTTCTTCAAGAAAGATACAACCAGGATAAGCAGCTCAAAGTTATCACGGTCCAGTGCTTTCACTAACATATGGACGATGTTCTTGTTTCTCATCTTCAGCTCAGTGCGAGTATCCTCAGCAAGATTTAGAAGCAGGTAAAGTGCAACTAAGAGGCCAATACAAATCAGATTAGAGATCAAAGACAACAGAACTAAATGAGTCTATACACATTAAGCACTTAAGACTTTCAGAAGCATTCCACTCCCTTCCCGACGCATTTTGGAGAAAACTGACCATTAATGTTTTTATTCCTGTTTAGAAAGCATGAAAAAGCCTAATTTTATTAGTGGCTTTGGGGGGGGGGGAAAATCACTACAAGCTTTTAATATTTTTTTTCCGTGTCAGGTCTAATGGGAGCCCTTGAAAAGCCCTTCCCAGCAAAGCTTTGTCACTCAGATTATTTCAACCTAACATTAAGTGTATTTTGGTTCATTAGTACAAAAGCTGAGATAGAGTAAGCTATTCAACTTGAGTCAGATACACTCTAAGTTAGGCTAAGTTAAAAAAAAAACAAACCAACAAAATACTCAACTTCTCCCAAACCAACATCATGAGTACAGTAAAGTGGATGACTTTCTATTTTTCATCTAGGACTGACAGATCACCTTAAAAATTGTTAGCATACTGTCAAGCAATCTGATTAAGTACTCATCTTCCCCCTGTCTTTTGGCAGTGCTCTTCCATATTCATCCAGACACTCTTCCACATTCATCTACCCATTCAGTATGTTTAGGACCTCCTGGTTGCAACAAGCATCCAGTAGAACCCTCTTCCCATATTTGCCAACAAGAAAGTATTTGCTGTTTGGATTTGGTACCTCTGAGCAGCTGTTCCTGCTTGACAACCAGCCCTTGATATTTCTTGTACGTTTTCTCATAGTCCTTTTTCAGGGTTTGATTTTCAGGATCTTCATCAAGTAAACTGCAGAAGTTAAGGAGTGCAGATCAAAGCTATACAGGCTAGATGACTGCTGTCCTCAAAGGTGTAATCAGTCACTAGTAAAAAGCAAGAGACCTATGGAATACCCAGTGTAAAGCCACTATGGCCACAACAGCTTCCTACACCTGTAACATGCAGCATGATCTTTTGCTTCACCTCCTAGTCCTGGATGTATTACATCCTAATAGTCAGCAAAACGTTCCTAAGACATACTGCTGATAAAATAAAATGGGTTTTTGTAACTTCAGCTTAATCTCTCCAGCAGCCCAAACTCCTCATTCTTTGTCTTTTTCATATCTGCAATTACATTTCGCACTTTCTAGTAAATTCTGCTGCTTTCACAGAAGCTGCTGCATGCTCATCTCGTGTAATTCAACAACAGCCGTCAAGCTGCCCCAGCATATCAAAAGGATATCAGCTTTCTTCTTTTTAGCAAGTTCTTCCTGCCAAAGCTCATGCCTCTTCAGTTCATGGTCTATGATATTCATACACAGAGCTCCAATTTTGTAGTGTGTGATTATTCCATGAAATTGAGAAAAGCTACATGGAAGAAAACACACCTGTGAGGAAAAAAATAAATGCAAACAACCCCAAATCTGTTTTGACATCTATGGTAGTCATGTTCCAACACTGCACCACATGAAGTATTAAAAAACCAGAAAACAAGAGGTATTTACTCTGTGCCCCATTATAGCACTTCCCTATTGGACAATTATTTCAAAGTGATTCCCAAAAACAAGAATATTTTTTCCAGACTTGTAGAAGGACAAGCAACAGTGCGTTGTTCCAAGTCAAAATAACAACACATTCCAATTTTCATGCATAAAGGAAAATGTTTTCCTATCAGCCCCATTTTCCATATTCTAAGTGCTTCAGAGGACTCCCTACTCACCAGAAATGTAAGAGATCTAAAATCAAGGTGCAATGCAAATTCCATTTGAGTTATTTATAGGCAGAGTATGCTGAAACACTGGCATATCTAATTAGGAGCATGCATTCACTTTAGTTTTTAATACTGTTTCTTGCCTGTAGGAATGCTGAGAGAAACAAAAGGTGGCAGCTCAGCCTGTAAGCTACGGGTCAGAATCCTTACTGGTTTCTTCCCAGCTCTACTACACACTGCCTCACCGCGCACGTTCATTTTGTGCCTCGACTTTGTCATTTATAACTGTGTTTCCATCTCAGCAATTCTTTTTCATGTTTCATGTTGTAGCGCAGGGCAAAAAAACCCAAAACAAAAAGTCACTAAGTTGAGGGAAGCTCCTTATGTCCCTACATACCGGGACTCTGCACTCACCTTGAAAAACAGAAGAAAATATAAATTATGTTGGTAGCAAGTTCCACACTTTGTTTCCAGTCTTCCCTCAGCACTCTAGCCAGTGCACCCAAGGCAGTTTCTGAAGTGAAACAAGGTGTAGATGAGCATCAGCATTTCACCTCCTCCTTTCTTTTCTGAGACTCAGAATTTCCATATAACTCATTCTACATCTATCGGTTTTCTACTGGGACATTTTCAGAGGTATCTCACTTCAACATGTAACACTGCTCAGGAGGTCTGTTTGGAGGCAGTACTAAAATAGAGAATACTCTGAGTGGTCACCCAGTCACAGACCCTAAAAAGAGGGGGCATGCAAGGTAACTGCAACAAAACACTAAGGTCATCTTAAAACTAATGCTGAAGATCTTGTGATCCTCGCCAGCTGTATATTCCATATTACACCGTGGCCCCCCACCGAGAACATTCCCACGTTCACTTCCAAATCCCCTTTAAATTCTACCTTGACAGACACCATTTTTCATCCACTTCTTGCTATTTATTGTCCCCTGCCCTGTAGCAATTTTGTACTATTTAATAAATTGGTTTATCTCTTCTTGTCATACTTCAGCTTACTTTTCCTCTCAATCGCTCGCCTTTGCCATTCACTTTCCCCTGTCCAGTCCCTCTTCACATACACCATGTTACATGATCAGAATGAGAAAAGCAGCAGCTGGCAATTTCAAGCACTAGAACTTTCACAACTCAAGAGGCCAAGCCACTATTGGACGGTTCACCATTCCCCTCCCATCCCAATTCTTACAATACTCTTGCTTGCTGATGTTGTAGGATGGGTAGAGCACATACAGAAGTCATCATTTGCTCTAGGAGTGTGGGGTAAAAGGGCTCAGTAAAAGAGAAAGGGGATAAGAATTACTAGATTAACAAGACCCAAACCTACCATCACTTTGGAGGTCTGGTTTGGATTGGCCTTATTTTTTGTCTGTCCGACACCCTTACAGACTGTAAGGTCCTTTTCTGAGCCACGAAAGTGTGTGCGCAACAGGAAGTGAGAATGTATGTACATGTACACATATGTATTTACAAACATGCACTATCCTACACTGATGAAGCTCTCAAAATGCATGTGGCACAGCATGTACATATGCAGAAAAATGACAGCCATGTGAAGGTCATAACATGCATTCTGGTAAGATTTTAAATGGGATCCATAAGCAAAATGTGTGCTAGTGAAATACTGTGCTGATGCATCCACATTCCATTTATTAATTCCCTTGGAAACTGGACACCTATACTGATGTCAGCCTGCAAATCCCCTTTTCAAACCAAGATTCTTGATCTTCAGGATACAGCTCTACATTCTCTTGTCTCCAGCAGCAATGCCAACTGAAGTTAATTTTGCATCAAAATAATTAGGATAAGAACAAACAGCTAAAGGCCATTAAGGCCAGGAAGACTTCTGTGTTGGGCCCAGCCCTGAACAGCCTAAGCAGCATCCACTTGTAGAGAGATCCAGCAGGGCTCTGCCACCCAGCTTATTATGCGCTGAGAAGCAGAGCCTAGCAAATGACAGAAAATACCAAATTAAAGGTGAACTACGTTTCCCTTGAGAGGAAAGCACCACAGATAGACAGCACAACGCTAAGAGAAGTCACCACTGAGTTTTAAAGTTACCATTGATAAGCAGTTCTTCCAAATTGTCCGGATTCCTAGCCAGCTGCAGGACGAGGGCAGAGCCGCGCACCTTGTCAGGAATGTCCTCGTACAGTAACTCAATGTACTCATCCATGTCGTTGATATTGGCAACTTCATCAATCTGAAAGCAGTCATAACAGGGGTTCACGGAGAAAGAGACGTCAATTCAAGAGTCAACCGCAGCGTTATTCAAACACAAGTGCACAGCTTTGAGTTAAGAAAATTAAATACATGGAAAAAAAACCCCAATGCGTTCAGAATCAATGCCAATGAACACCAGGAAATCAGAGAAGATTTAATTACAAAAAACAAAAGATGCTCAGACATGACTCCCTGTGTCCTGTCCGATGTTCCAGACCTCACTTGCTGTCCTGCTGCGTGCTATAGTTGGAGGGGGGAAGTATGAAAGACAAATATTTTACCCTTTATGGAGATGATTTTTATTCCATTGTGCAATATTTCCACACCAAGTTCTTTGTTTAAAAAACAAGAAGCCAAAAAACACCCAGAATTCAGCATTTCCTCTCTCCACCACCCCGCCCCCCTTATGTAACTACTTACTTAAGAAGCAAATGGGTTTTGCATTTATCTTCTAACACCGATATTTACCTCCATTCCTTCAAATGGGGGTGGATCTTTTGGCTTACTGGTTTTCTCTTTCTTTTCTGCAGAGAAAAAGACATGGTTGCAGTGAAGTTATGCAGATTCACAGACAAAAAACACACCCAGTATTCTCACAGTGAACACTCTAGTTAAATGAGGTCAAAGTCCTTTTGTGTCCAGCTGACCTGTCAGACTAACACAGCTAAGGTATGTCAGGTTTCTGAAGCTGAGCAGCCCACAGGGAGCAAAATAAACTCTCAGACGGCTTTTGACTCCTCAGTCTAAGTGATCACAGCCCACTCAGCTGGGGAGACAGAGGGTAACAAACCCTAGTGCAAGCCCGGCCGGACAACACTCACTTCCACAGTGAGATACCTTAGCAGCTTTGATTCTGCTTGTATACTCTGGCAAAGCTGCCCTGTGATATACAAAGATATACAGAATAAGAGAGGCTAAAACACCCAAAGAAGTTACAATCAAAGCATATGAATAACATCAATCTTTGTTTTAAACTCTTCTGAGATAAGAATCCAACTTGAGAACAAAGCTTAACACTTCATGATTGCAAGAAACCTTGCTAACCACAAGATAATGCAGGATCAGATGTTAAATATGAAATTGTCTCCTGAGCAGGAAGTCTAAGATGAATGTAAGACATGAACAGGACCACCAAAATGCCTTAGCACCAGAGCAGAGCAAAGCACCCATGTCCCAGGGTACTATGTTCCTGTATTATTTACCTTTTCCCGCTGAGGCGTCTCTGCGATTCTGCAGATAGTACAACAGCTGCTCTACTTCTGCAAGTTTGGAGGGGTGAATGAGCTTGCACTCTTCAACCACTTTTCGAGCCAGGGAAGCAATGTCTGTATTTGCATTAAGACTCTTTAGCCGAATGCTGCAACACAGATAGGTCTCTCTTCAGTTTTTAAATTTTTGTATCTTCAGTGCTTTATGTTGAGAGAGTCATGAATTTCTTGAAACAGAAACGATCCTGATACCCCCAATGCCTGTGCCATGGTTTACAAAGGAAATGTCAAAGTAGCAGCTCCCCACAACTCCAAATGGCAAGTAACTGTCAAACAGATGTGACAGAGCGTAACTGTCCGTCAGCTGACAAGCAGCAACACTAAATGCAGCTGTGTGAACAGATCCCTTACAACTGACTTAGACACAGAAGCCTGTAATTTATTTGCAATGCACTCAAAAAGAGGGCACAGGACTGCAAAGAGTACTGCATACACCAAAAAATCCCAAATGAGAAACAGCTATGGGTGTTGACTACACAGGAAAGTTCTTCACGGGAGTCTCCCAGAGCTCTGGCAGAGCTGCAGCCAGGTCCACACGCAATGAGTGTAAGAAATCCCTGTGGGCATTAACAACAGGGTGGATGAAAAACAAATTCCAACGTGTTGCATATGCAAGTTATGCTGATTCATCAGAAAATAGATGAACATTTCTGCCATCTTCAAAAATTGGAGATAATTTAAGGATTCTTTTTCTTCCTCAATTATTCTTCACTCACACAGGTAGAGACTTCAGCTCAAATTTTCCAAAATAATTCAGCATAGAGATAAAACAAGCCCAGGAAAGTTCCCAGCTTGGAAGTTGAAGTTATGACAGTTCTTTCGGCTTTTCCAATGGGGAATGTTTTAATGCTCTTAAAAAAACCCCAAAAACCCTACCAGGCAAAATTAATATACTGATACTGTAGTGATACCAGGGCGTACAGATCAAAACAACAGGAGAGCCAACAGCTGGAGCTTAAGGTTCAATAGTATTACTTGCTGCAACATTAACCATCATTGGAGTAGGAGCTAATCATTTCACTTTACCTCAAGATCCCATCACATAAAATGGGAATAATCTCTTTTCTTTACAAAAGACTTTAAAGTACATGGATGAAAAGCAGTTTACAAGGTGTTTTAGATGTTAACTTTCCTTGGCATATGTTATTTCCCGGCTTCTAAACCCTCCACTAACATAGCACTAAGTTTTATAAAGATTAGAACTACTTATTTCTCACAGGCTGTTGATGCTTTGAGTTACTGAATTTATGACTATGAAAAGCAGAAAAAGCTATCAGAACTTGCTATGACCTTACATTTTCTGACATTCCTTGCGCTCCCCCAGCACGGGGTCTCCCATCTCTCCCAGAATCGTTGCTTCCACTTCATAGTGGACAATGAGGGCTTTCTCAGATGGATGCACATCTATGTTGCCTCCTTTTACCTTCCTGCCGTGAAGAAAAAACAAACAAACCACAAGAATTACTGTTGAAATGAAAATCTCAGAAAACATAGCAGTACATAGATCTGTAACACTGACATGTCACCTGTTGTGTTCAGACCCTAAGCCCACAAACTGCCCTCCTTCCACACCATATTTCATCTCACACAGCTGTTCCAAAGCATAGTGCTGGTGGCATGTTCTTGACTACTACCTCTAGTACATACAGTAACCCCCCAAGCCATTGGTCAAACCTTAGTCTTGGAAGTCAAGTAAGGAAGAAACAGGATAAATCTTTGATGCTTAAGTCTCCCAGCTCTCTTCCAGAAGTACAATGAGGAAAAAGATGCGTTTCACAGAGAAGGTGAATTTCTCAGTTGATTCCCTGTTACACTGTCAGTACTGAGAAATTTTCTGCTAATGGCATTGATCTAGTGCGGTCATTTAGAATTTGAAATCTTTCCTCAAATACTCTCTTGGCACCATGAATGAATTACATATAATTTTAATTTCAAATTAACTTTTCTCTCCTGAAGGACAAACCTCTTTGCTACTGTTCTTCATCTTACTGTGACTGCAGTCACCAACAGCTCTAAGTCTACCTGCTTTACTACAGCCACAGATATTTGAGAAAAGTGTTCTCCAGGAAAGCACTCTGGGTATGTCACTGCCAGAAAGGCCCGCCCTACTCTCTCCTCCTTTGTGTCAGCAATCTCATGTCGTTTTAAACTCTTACAAGGGCCATGAGGAAAGGGCCATGGATAACGGGCCATGAACACACATCTTGTTGCTGTTTTTAAGTGATGGCAGAACCACATCCACACAATATAGTTACACATTTCTATCCTTGGTGGTAAAGCTGACACTTGCCCCTTTTCCCCTTGGTACTGCCAATACAGTATGTGCAGTCATGCCATAAACTGGGCTGCTAAAACACTGCAGGTTAAAAAACTCCTTAATGAGGGTGGTGTTTTTTGCTTGTTTTGGGGTTTTGTTTGGCTGTGGGTTGGGGGTTTTTTGACAGATCATATCAGTGAACAGATTTATAGGTGGCTTCAGCAGCAGCTGTATCAGCATAAATGAGATAGCACCTAGCTATGGAATTGGGTCAGTCAGACTAGGTAAAACTACTTCAGCCTCACAGAGCTGGAACTGTTAGCAAATACAGATGCAGCCTTCGGTGTAACCACTCTCCTGAGAAAAGGTTAGAAATGTGTGCCTCCATCTATTCAGATACTACCATGGCTGCTTTCCCTTCTGCAGAATACAACTGCAAAAAATACCTTTGTTTGAGATACAGCTGCCCCCCCCAAAAAATCCACAAACCACAGAAAGGTCTGCTGTGGGAAATGAAGACTCTAGTTCAACTACCAGCCTTAAAGACATAAAGGTAGAGGGAAACAAATATAGCTCATTGCTAAAGAGCATCATATTCCTTCATGAGATTGTGGCAGAAGTCTATTTATCTCTTAAGATTTTTTGAACAGGCTAGTGTTTTTTTCCTTTAACAGAACTTTGAAGCAGATGCTTCACTACAGTCTGTTCGCACAAGGTCCAGCCTTGCAAGGCACAAAGCTTACGGTAAACCTATTTCAAAAGAAACCAGGTCTCACCCTCACTAGCCGTACCCCACCTCCACGTATATTTTCCCCATATTTAGACCTAGCAGGAGATCTTAACCACAAATGCTCCTCCTGACAGTCAAATCTGTTAGGTGCCTGCTTGGTAATATTTACAGATATAAAGAAAAGCGTGGGTAGAGAAAAAGTAGGCCTGAAGGATTCTGGTATAGTTTTACAAGAACTAAGCTGAACTAAGAGCTCATCTGCCAAAAAGATTAGACCTCTCCATGTTTTCCCTGCTCCTGACAGTCACCTTGGTCCAGCATGAGGGGTCCTCAAACCCTTTCACAGCCAATTCTGCAATCCAAGAGAAAACCTTTCATGTTTCAGGCAGAGGGAGTTTTTCAATGTGTTGCTGAATTAAAGTGTTCCATAGAAAGGTGTGCTGGGTTCAGCCAGG